ATAGGGTAATAACCCCCTGCCCACGCTCAACCTTGCCCATTCAAATCCAGCGTTCACTCGCTGTTGATTATCACCTACGGCCTCGTGAGAATTTTGGGGGCTAAACCATTAACTAGGGAATCAGGGAAAGATATCACCCTTCAAGGTTTCGAATTCAGCTTTCATGCGCTGGTGCGTGAAATTTTTGACTGTTTTCCAATTGTTGAACTATTTTTGCACAGGAAACAGTACAAAGCAGTGAAAATCATTAATAGGCAATAGTTCGATGGGCTGGATTGCACAAAACGCATGATCGCACCGGCTAGTCTGGTGCGCGTTGCTATTAATTCTTCTTTGCACAATATTTTAAAATTCTGAAAATTCTAATTTTTGATATTCCACTTTTATTGCCAAAAATTTTGGCGGATTTATTATTGAATTTTTCGCAGATATAGATTTTTGATTGTTTTCTTGAAGTAAAAACAGAAATTTTCGAAAAAAAGCAATACCTGCCAGTCCTCATCAATTGTAGTTCCAGTGAGTCCATTTTTCTCGGCATAAAATTCCGCCAGCGCAGCAATGGCTTCAGCAGACAAAGTTGGCTTATCGGCGTCGTCGTCATCACCATCCGGGCAACATTCCATCAATGAACTCTGTAAAAAAAAACCGCATAAAAACTAAAACGATCGGAGTAAAACAGATTGTTGGGGGAAAAGCCGCCTTTGCAAAGTTGAAATTCGAAAATCACAAGTATTCATCACAAGCCTTAAAAAATATTAATTAATTTCCCCACCAAAAACTTTACGGGGCCGTACATGACACTCGCAGCCATGAGAAGGTTGAATTTAAATTTGAGGGGTCGCACGTGGGCAGGGAACAACACTCCAAAATTTCGGCTTTCTAGCTTCCGTGATTCTCGAGATAATAATTTTCCCCGTCAAAATTTTTTATGGGACCGTACGTGTGTTACGCGCAGGCACAGGAAGGTTGAATTTAAATTTGCGGGGCCACATGTAGTCGGGGGATATGCCCACAAAATTTCAACCTTCTAGTCTCCGTGATTCCCAAGTTGAAAGCTGTGGACAAGATGTATCGGATACATGGACACACACAGACACACGCACACATGCACACACACACATACACAGACAACCCCGTGACAATATGTGTTGAAGAACCCTCCAAAATTTCGGCTTCCTAGCTGCTGTGATTCCCGAGATAATAATTTTCCCCGTCAAAATTTTTATGGGACCGTACGTGTATTACCCGGTCATAGGTAGGCAGGGGATGTGCCCACAAAATTTCAGCCTTCTAGCTTTCCTGATTCTCAAGTTGAAACCTGCGAACGAGATGTATCGGGCACACAAACGCATATATATATATATATATATATAT